CCCCAAAACCCCAAAACCCCTTGAGGCTAAATAACAATTTTCTTAGAAATATGAAGAATTGGAATTTAGCTCTAAAGTATTTATGAATAAAAAGAATCAAACCATTTTAAGAATAAAGATGATAGGCATAAAAATTTAGAGTCAGCTTTCTCACTATTAAAAGTTTAAAATTCTTATGCAAATAATCATATCATTTTAAAGTAGCATTAAATAATCTTCAATACTTATCAATGCATTTAAGTTATAAATGTGAGCGTAATAATCTTATCCTCTAAGAAGGTCTTCAATTGTTATACTTTTGATAACTGTTAAGATCAATTCTATCGCCTGAATTTTGCCTCTCAATAATCAAGGGTTTATGATCGAATCCGCTGTTTTTAATAACCTTGCCAGAGTTAGTCTCCTGCAGTACCTTGGGCATGCTCAATCTCAAGTCTAGATTCTTCTAGTAATTCCTGATGTAGTTGCTTTCTCTAGTGAACTTGTCATTGAAGTGCTGCTAGCTTTTAGTGAAGATGTCATTTTACTATGACTTAGTGGCTGTGTGAGACCTCAGACTCCTCGATGCTGCGTGATTGCTTTTGTCATAAACTCTCAAGTTATTGTAGAAGGTTGACTTAAACTGAGCTGGTGAATACATAGATCTTAAACCACCAGCTGAGTCAGATATGTAGGTGTCTCTGCCGCCTCCGTTGTTAATGTATTAGACTCCCTTGGAATGAATAGTGGGTAAAGCGTACTTTGCTCTCTGCTTCATGAAATAAAAGGTGCCTACAATCATTATTCAGTTATAATCAATGCTAATGCGTTTATATCTTAATAGACAATTTGCAAGTGACTGTAGACCTACCTAGTTCTTCGATCTTAGTGGGCATGGTTGCTGGACAGAATCCTCCATTGTTGCCTTGGATATAAGTGTCTCTACCTGTGCCGTCTCCAGAGTAGAACTGAGTCTTGCTCTGGAACATTTGAGTCTTTGTGAGTTAACCACCTGTGTGCATATTTATTTTCGATTAAATTAAATTATCGAATCAATTATATTAAGACCTCATATTATTAAATTTTTATTTCTCAAACAAGATTTTAGTTATCAGTAATCAATTATTCATATGTATATGTCCAGCCAGACAGTGGCTTAAGCGCTTAATGATGCTCAGCTAATGAGGCATTAGACCTCGAAATACTTTAACTTACGAAGGCTTTTTTAAAGATGATAAATGAAATCCTCAAGGCTTTCTTTGTCAATGAGATAGGTTTTAACTATGGATTTTTGGATAAACTGGGAAGCTGATGGACTTATCTGTTCAACATTTTATATCACAAAGTTTTTATATGGCAATTAGCTCTTCCATTCTAATTGCAACTTAACAATCTATGGACCATTATTGTTTTCAGTTGCTTTAATTTGGTTACTTCCAGGTGTATTTTAACTTTACCCACCCTCTTAGTTTCCAAATACTTGTTTATAGTTTAGGAGTCTAATCTTCGTCAATGCAGTGAGTTCCCTGCTACTTCTAATCTGCGCATTCCACCAGATCTTAGGCATCTGTATTTTCTCAAGATCTTAGTTGTTGAAGTGACTGCCATATCTTCTAACTTGTTCAGGTGTTGATTTTAGCACTAGAAGTCTGTTCTCATAGAAAGTCAAGAATCTTACATGTTCATTTTTATTGACTTCTTTCTTGAACCAGTTCTAGAAGAGACCCTTTTTCTAAACTTACTTTGGCTGATCTTTCTCGATCTCTATCACATTCCCAAAGTTAAGTAAGTTTACTCTTTACCCCTTGAATGGTAGCCTGTGCACACACTGAGAGAGAGTTTCATACTCTTCATCATCAGATTCTTCTCCGTACTCCTCCTCTTCTTCGTCATATTCAGCCTCTTCATCATAATCTTCTTCATCTTCACCCTCTGCTTCATCCTATTCCTAATCCTACTCGGCTGCTTTATTTTTCTAAGCAGTACTCTAGAGTTAAGATTTAGTATTATTGCTATCTTGATTGTCTTCTTCAGAAGATATGTATTCCTCCTCAACTGTGACAGTGTTTGGGTTCTCTGAATCATTTCTATCACTTTATGCATCTCCATCGGGTGTATCATCCTCATCAATCTTAAAGATTTGCTTTTTAGCTTACTTGGTCTATACATCCCCTGGGATGTTTTGATTTTTTTATGATTCTCTAATTTTCTTCAACTAATCTTGGAAATCATAGTCAAACTTAGTGGCCTCGTCTTGCTGCATTTATTTGCCTCCTTTTGTTTATTTTATTTATTGGTCCTATTTCAATTGCTACTCATTTTTATTGATGTTTTTATTTTTCATCATTCTTTGAAACCTTTAGAGGAGAGAGTTGAACATTGACCTTTTCTTCTTAGATCGCTTGGCACTGCTCCCACTGCCAGAACTGTTGCCACTCCTGCTTGAGTTTTGAGTGGACTGGATTTTGGCTACAGAGTAATCACTATAGCTGGCATTTACATCCTCAATATCATCTTTTAAGTCATCTGAGTCGTCCTCGTCCTCATATTCAATGTTGTTACTTGCCATTTTTAAATCAAGCTTATTACTGCCCTTATCCCCACCTTAAATATTAGTTAGAATCTTTCTGGTTTAGGTGGGCTAAGGGGAAGAAGACTTGCCTGCGATTGGATTCTAGTTTTGTAGACTTTGATTATTATCCATTAAGATTAATTATAGTGTTTAAGAGTTGAATAATATAAATGTTATTAGTTTGAATATTCTATTATTATTAACATTACGATTGCAAGATTATATCAAGAATAATAAATAAATTTAAAATCTTTCTGGAAACATGCAAAGAAGTGCAATACAGTTTCAACAAAGTTTGGCAATTTTTAATTTTAACTTAAATTATTGTATATTCTAAATAGCATATATCATTTCAATGAAGACTAGGAAGGGGAATTTGCTCTCCGTAGTGGTTAGTCCACTTTTGGTCCTTTGAATGTTTATCTGATTTGGCTTGAGTTTTAAGTCCTGCAACCATAGATTATTGTTTTTACCATAGCTCTAACTCATTTTGCAACATTAACTGGCGATTTGCCTCCTACTGCAAAGCCCACATCTTATCTTCCTCCTACTGCTGAGACTAAATTTATTTCTTCTCTACTATTTATTATTGTCTCTCATAATCAATTTGAGCTTTTTGCTCTGGTGTTAGACCCTTGAAGTGATATGGAACGTATCTGTGCTGTGCATGTTGACTGGTAGTAGTGGCTGGGTTCTCAGTCATAAGATCACTGTTGTTGGCATTAGCGATTTCAAACTGGTTCTTTCTCTCCTAATCATTTCTCCATTGATTTTCTCTGTCTCTCTTCTCTCTAGCTAGTCTCTTGTTCTCCTCTTAAAGGTCCTTCATCATCTGAGCTCTTTTGGAGGACATCTCATCTTCAAGCATTCCTCTCATTCTGTTTAAATTATCTGTCTGCTCAGCATAACCTCTATTCCACAATAATGATTAGCACATGCGTTTATGTAATTATTTAAGATATTGCAATAATTAGCAAGCATTAACTTACCTATCCTCTTCTTTTTCCATATGAGTGAGATAGCCCTTTTCTCTTTTCTGCTCCTCAATAAATTATCTCTAACGGTCAGCGTTTTCCTTCATTCTCTCAGCGTAATCTATATGCAAATATTAACATCAACTGATAAGTGGGTAGAGGATAAACGTACGAATGTCTTCTCCGTCGAATTGACGAAGACCAGAAACGAATTTAGGGACTTCATCTCCCTCGCGATGGAATACTTGCTTTGTTCTCTTCATATTTTATTTCAAAGTTATAAATTACTATAAAATATAATCATTTTGAGATGTATGGGGTTTTGGGGTTTTGGGGTTTTGGGGCTTATGATGAAT